AAAAAAACTGCTGAACCACAGTCATCAGCATCTGTGTAATGTGTATGGGCTTAATTTCTGTTTGGTGGCATCCAACCAGTCCCTGTTCCCAGGCTGACAAGCTTTCAGGACAGTAAGTGTGTGGACTTACTGTCCACACAGATATCTCCTTCAAGAGCTTCTGGACCTGATGAAACCAGCAGTGGTTAGAACAATCGTCTTATACATGACATATTATCACAGAAAGGCTGGAAGTCCTTTAAAATGTTTATTAAAAGAGGATAATCCCGAGAAGTCATGTTCATAGCAAAACATGGAAGGCTGCCCTTCCTGGTTATGAAGGGTGGTGAATGACCCCATGCTCCTGAAGAGAAAATAGGCTGGAGAGAGCTGACAAGTAAGAAAATCAGAAGGGGAAAATAGAAGGTGGAAACGTCATTTGAGAAGAGGAGGAAAAAAGTCACCTGTCAGCCAGTGTAGCAGAGAGAAAACTCCTACACAGATGGTCTTAATAATTCTTTTAATGTACAATTGAAATAAAATCCTGTAGTGTTGTACCTTATCAGGGCTTGGCTAGAGATTTGAGCTGCAAGCTCAGGAGGTCTGGAAAATATCTTAGGATTCTTGAGGTCAATCATTTATGAATTAAGTTACTGATTTCCTTTTACATTTTTTAAACCAATTTCCTAAGTTCTCTACGTACGTTAAGATTCCTCCCAGAGTGAAAGCTCTGCACATAGACAGCTTCATTAAGTCATTAAATATTAAATGAACTAAATTAAGCTTGAAAAATTACCTCAGGCTATTTTTCCATCTTATGTCTCTCAGATAAATCAAAATTACTACATATTGTGTAAGATACTCATCAGCAGGCTGAAGAGGATGTAACAGTTTTCCTTGCTTCATACTTTTGTGCTTGCTCTGGAGGATGGAGGGGGTTGAGTCGTTTTATTCTTCTACAAGTGAAGAAATGGCTGACTTTTAGGAGACTCTAGCTTTCAAATACAATTTTCATTTCGTAAGTTATATTGTACTTTCCACTGACTCTGTACTGTATGTAAAGTATTTTAATCTCTTGAGTCCCAGTAGGAAGAGCTTTAAGATCCTTCATCTTCATTTCTTTTCCTGTCTCTCTTTCTAAATGTCCCAGCTTTGCTGGTGTGAAGCTGTCATTTCTCTCCCTCTCTCCAAATGTCATTGTCCATGCTGAGTTGTTACCTGCTGGTTATCAGCAGCTACCCAGACACTTTGCAGAAATGACTTTTAGATGTTAGAATAAAATGGAAGAGGCGGGGGAGAGCACATGTCCTCCTCTTTGCCCAGAGCAGATGGAGAACTCTGTTTTCCTCCTAGTCTGGGGAAAGCGATGCTCCCACGCAGTCCCCGTTCTGCGTGGCTTGTGCAGAGCGAGTTGTTGCAGTTTGTTTTACTTTTTCCCATGCAATCTGTGTGGCTAAACATTTGCTGTTTGTGTGACTCGAGTGCCAGACGCCTCCCCCGGGAAAGCAAACCAGCACCACCCATCTTGCAGATAACAACTTGAACAAAATGGTACGAGTGGGTGTTCCCGAGGCCATGCAGGAAACCTGCCAGCACTGAACCCGGATTTTCAGGCTATGCCTCATTAGTAAGTTAAATAGTGCACAGTAGGATTCACCAACCAATTTCAAAACACTGGGGAGCCGTTAAAGCAGTTCAGGGAGACGACCCATGGGCGGAATGTCGGTGGCTGTGGGCTATGAGCCCACAGTGCGGGTGCAAACTGACCTATTCCAGCCAGCGTCAGTGCCCAAGGACGTTTGTGTGTGTTGAGGTTACAGGTATAGGTATAGCTATGGAGCCTTGTAATAATTCCGTGACTGCGAGGACACCCAACCCGCTGGTGTCCTAAGGAGTCTTGTCCTACCTCCCATCTACTGTCTTTTTGTAAACTTGTGCTTAAACGTATATTGGTATGGAGTTTATCACTTACCAACAGGGAAAGGACAACTGATTTTAACACAAGGCTTACCATAGAATTAAATTTCTTACAGGTGTTTTTTTTTTTAATGAGCAACTACTGTTTTTTTGTTTGTTTAATGTTGTTAATGTACTGCCAGACACATCCGTTTCTACTGTAACCAATGAAGCTCTCATTGCAGTTGTCCAAAAAAGTTTGTTGGGACCTGTGTATGGAGGGATACCTGTAAATGTTTAAACCCAGTCAACTGAAGTTTTGAAGTTAATGCCTTAAAACCTTATGAAACACTTCTTGTTCAATAGCAGATTTGCTTTAGTTTGCTGTGGCTTATTTCTCTGAACCAAGGCCGTTTTGTGTCTGAGAGTGTTCCCACGGGCATCCAGTGGGTTTCAGCTTCTCTGCATTAGCTTCACCATTCCACTTGATTGGTCTGAACTCACTTCTGTGTGTCCCTGTGAAGACAAGCCACCAAGGGTGTGAAGGCTAGACTTTATTGGAACTTAGGTTCTGTTTAAGAGCAAATGTTCAGATCATGCAAATGCTATAGCAGTGAGTTTTCTTCCCATTGTTTTGGAGCGACTTCTCAAGCTGATAACTTCACTAAAGCCTCCATTAGAATTAGTGTCACATCTTCTTAAAATGCTGCTTCATTGAAAATTTTATCTAGTTTATACAGAAGATTAAATGTACCGAAGTACTCCTTTAAAGAACTTAGCTAAGGCTCCCTTCGTGCAAGAAGCAGCAAGAAATTCTTAAAATTCTTTGTTTAATTACAGGATGTTGATTTTTCTGAAGCCTATGCTCTTGCTCTTATTCCTACCATGCTGCTTGCAAGCAGGCTGTTTGTGTTTTAAAAGCAAAATGCAAAATAACATTTAATTTATAGTCCAGGCACAGAAAGCAGTTTTATTTCTCTGCACTTAAATAGCAAAGCTTGAAAGAACTTTTCCGTTTAAAAATGCTGCCATCCAGTGGTTATTTTGTGTGTAAAACTGGTACTTTTTGATCTATACATTCGTGGACCTTATGCTTCCCCCCCTCCCCAAGTGCCCTATGCAAATTGTGGTTATGACAAATACAACACTTTTCACAGAAATGACAGATGCTTTTGTAACTTTTTAGGGACAAGTACAAAAGTCCTTAAAGATCAATGTCTTGTATAGGCTGCTTTTTCACTCACTTGCATTCCCAAAGAGCAAGATCCTCATAGTTTAAATATCAGGGAGACCTTAAGTATAAGTATATAGTGAAATATAATTGTTCATGAGTGACTGGCATCATTATGTATATTATGATTTTGTGTGTGCCCAGAGCTTGTCATGTCATACAACAGTTTGAAATAATGCATTAATTCTGAATACTTATTTCAAGTGATTCTACCTTACCGGAAGAGGAAAAAAAACCTTAGGAATCTCAACCATATGCAAGCGTAGTTGAAGACAAGCCCACAAAACAATTCATGATTTCTACATGTATCTATGGTATAGAAAACTTGTTTCTAGTAATAACTCAAAACAGATGGAACTTGATAACATAGAAAGCAAGTAAAACTCTAAAAATATTTTTTCAATAATAACTTTATAGTGATGAATATCGTAATAAGTAGTGTATTAATTATCTCTGTCCTGTAGGGTTGCTTTGTTGGGTTTGACCTGGCTCATGCTGTTGGGAATGTAGAGCTTCATTTGCATGACTGGGGAGTAGATTTTGCCTGCTGGTGCTCCTACAAGGTAAAATAGATTCACTGTTTGAGACTATTTTCCATAATGTTGCTTATATGATGGGTCAGCAAGCAGGTCAGATGAATAAGAACTGCACCTGAACTGTTGATCAAACTTGGCTGAATCTTTGAACCAGCCATAATGAGGAGATGGACACTGACTTTAGTGGTGGTTTGGTTATGAGAGGTTCCAAAAGACAATAGTGGCAATGACCTGCAAGGTCTTGTCGATGTGAGGGGGATGCTAGTGGTGGTTAAACATCTGCTCTGAAGCACACTCTGCTCTGTGGTCACAGTATTGGAGACTCTTCTCATTTCCCACACCGAGAAGATCTTGTGGTTATAAGATTTTCTGAAGTGGTCCCTAAATAAGAGAATGTTCTTGCCTAAACTTAAATAACTTCAGATCACAGAACAAGATGTCTTAAGTTCCTTTTACTTCTCTTAAGAATAATCTTATTAGGTATAGATTTAGTCAGCTGAATTGTTTGATGATTTTGTTATGTTATGACATGGGACTGTTACTTCAATTTTCTAGCCTTTTGTCTGTTAGACTTCAAATATCATAGGTAAGCCAAGAAAGATATTTTTAGAACTCATCTGAAAAAATATATCTGCTTTTACCTACATCAGCACTTTGAGACAAATGCTAAGATGCCCAGTTAGAAACCACTAGAAATACTAAAATTGGTCTGTTTTATAGAGTGGAGTGCGGGAAGAAAAGCTATACTTTACAGACAATAAGCATGACGTGTACATGTTGTTTTATTCTTTGCAGTATTTAAATTCTGGAGCAGGAGGCCTTGCTGGTGCCTACATTCATGAGAAGCATTCCCAGAGTATTAAACCAGCGTAAGTATATTTCTACACTCAAATAAGAGGTGCTGTGGAGTTTAAATGGGAAAATATCTTCCTTTTGAGTTGAGTTCTGAAAGTGAGGAAGTGTATAGATTCCTAGAGTATGGACATGTGTATCTATGTATATATGGACGCGTATACATATATATATACATGCATATACATATGTACAGATGCAGAAGAAACTCCCTGCTTCAGAAGAACCTCGTTAGGCTAATATTTGTTGCTGACTTGTACAACCCTTTTCATTAATGCAATAAGTTTAGATAATTTGGTTATCTGACTTTGTTACCTCAGATGGGTTGTTTTATGTTAATTTTAGTAAATTTTGAAATTGTTAATATACATGCTCTCATCTAAATACATTTCCTCCTTGAAGTCTACCAGTTCTAAACTAAACATAATCATAAAAGAGAATGCTTATTATATTAAAAACAAGTGACCTAAATCATACCCATGAGGCTGTTTAATGTAAAGAGAATACTTAACATCTTCCTTTAAAAATGGATTTTTTAAATCATTGAAGTTTTTGGTTGGTGAACAAAATCAAAGACAATTCAACTCTGTGACTAATAGCTCTTTAATACTGGCATGTTTTCATTAAAATTATATCCACTGGTAAAGCTAGGAAGCATTACATGGAGATCTGTGTTCTCAAAGACTGCATAATCCATGAAAAGCTGTGCTATCAACTGAGGTTAGCTGCATTAAAAAAAAAAACTGTTGTTTAAAATATTATATGACTGTACTCTATTATATATTAGTATATTAAGAACAGTAGGATTAATATTTTTAATTCACTGCAAATGTAAATCTTTCTGGCTGTAATGCTTGGAGAAATTGCTGGCACTTCTCAAAGACTGCATAATCCATGAAAAGCTGTGCTATCAACTGAGGTTAGCTGCATTAAAAAAAAAAAAACCCTGTTTAAAATATTATATGACTGTACTCTATTATTATATATTAGTATATTAAGAACAGTAGGATTAATACTTTTAATTCACTGACAAATGTAAACATTTCTTTCTGGCTGTAATGCTTGGAGAAATTTCTGGCACTTGCTTTTATTTTAGCTTGAAGAAGGCAAACTAAGTCAGGTTTCAGAGAGAAATAATGTTATAATAAACAGCTTTGCTGCAGTATGTGTTGGTTTCAGACCGTCTAGACTCCCAGAAGATAACAAAATAACACTGATAAGTTCTTCTCTGTCACCCATAACAGAAAACTCATTAGGATGACATATGACCTGTTGTGAGCGGTTTCAATCCTCACATGTGAACACTTGCAAAATATCCTGAATATCTGGGTATTACTTGGGAAAGTTTTTTTGGTTTTGTTTTTTTTTTTTTTTCTGCTTCCCTTTTAGTGTAGGCATTGCTCCCTGCAAATGGCCACACCTCTGGATCCTGGTTGTGGGGAGCTGGGAAGATGTTGAGCAGTGGAAAAAAGTGGGCCAGCTAAAAATCACAGAGTAGCAATAGGAGGAATGAATAAAATCTCAAGGACTTTGAGTCTTTTTTTTCCCCCTTGATGAAACTTTGAAAATTCTTCTGTGAGGGCCCTAGCTTGGTATTGTAGGTAAGAGCTTAAATTAGTTTTTCCTCAACCAGCTTCTTCATACATAGTCATTAACTTGTGTACTGAATCTGGATACTGAATGTCTTACATACAATTGCCTATACGAAGTAGGGGGTTTTTTCAGCCTGGGACCCAATTAAAGATATAATTCCAAACTTCCTGCATAGGCCCTTTGCATTATTTAATCATAGTTATTTCATATTTCCTGAGATTTGATAATCACTCACCAAATTGTTTGTAGTTAATGTGCCCCGGTTGCATTACTTTTCTGCATCAACCAGCCATTTCAGGTCTCCAAATAAAGCAGTGAGACAAAGGAGAATTTGTCTATGTCAAAGTATTCAATTTTATAGCTGATTTAAATGCAGAGCAATTTGCTGTATGTTGTACAATCAAATAGAGTGGAATTTAACTGCTCTGGAAGTTGCAGGTTTTATCTTGTATTTAAAAAGTCTCTGGCTGTCATCTGAATCAAGGATGACACCCAGTGGCCAGACAACTTCATTTAAAAACAGAAGCACCAAACACTTTGTTTCTTTGCATCTCAGCCCACACATAAGTGGGTAATTAAATTCCAATCCGGCTGATAACCTTTTGTCAGTTAAACTGCCTGATATATTGTTTTTAACCCATAGCCAATATTATGTAAGTCACTTTACCCACCTATATAGATTTAATTTGTCTCATCCGTCATATTTTCTGCAAGCTATTGGCTGGGTAGTTACTCTTACATCGAAATAATGTATTGTATTTTAATATAAAAATGTATGTTCTGGCCATAATTCAGAGAGGCAGACCCAGAATGTCTGCCAAGTGCCTTTGCCTGTTACTGACTGAGGCTGGGGCAAAAAGGACTTAGGTACTTGTTGAAAATTAAACAGCTCGGTCAAAAACCTTAATTTTAAACCCCCAAGCCCAGCTACTGCCCATCCCCAAAGGCATTTAGGTATCTTGTTTTAACTTACCTTCATTCCACGAGTATGCTTTTGTTTATGCACAGTCTTGCTAATAAGAGCAGCGTAAGCAAATAGGCGCTCGCACTGTAGCTGTGCCCGGTTTCCGAAACTGGGCTCCCCTCTAGCTGCTCCCCATGGGTGCTGCCCCATCCAGAGCTTGCTCCCTGGGCAACAAAACAGTTATTTGCTGCCTCTTTCTTTTAAAATGCAGCTTGAGAAAGAGTTATTAATTTAATAGTATTAAATTTAATTAATTTATTTAATTATTAATTAATTTTAATAATTAACCTTACCACGAGCAGCTGGGGCCATGCCGAAACTGCTGTTGCCTTGAGTCCGCAAACCGAGGTTGTGGCAGCCGAACTGCAAACCTACGCAACCCAAAACTGGTGTTTTCAGTAACACCATGTCACACCCCAGCAGACAAAAGGCAACATCAATCCCACTTCTCTTCTTTGCAGATGTGCAAGCTTCCCGCAAGGGTTTTAAAAGTTGGTAATTCACCAACTTGGAAAAGAATTTATGCCCAAGAGAGCAAAGTTTGATCCTTAGATCTGATGTCTGTAGCCTCCATCTTCCAAGCAATAGAGACTCGTATGTGCCCTTGTTTTGTGCCACTGCAAACGCCGTCCCGCACTCCCTGGCTTAGCTAGGGAGAGTCCTCTAATCCACTGCAAGGGCCATGGGTCTGGAAGTTACATGTTGTAACCATCCTAACTAACATCTGTACCCAGGTATGTTGGGTAGTCCTTTGCTAGTCCTCTATCTTTCTGCCTAGAGCAGTAAAACTGAATCAATCTGACATATATGGGTCCAATATATCCCTATTCTCTCATGATCTCACCTCCTTTGAAGTCTCTTTTAATGCTCGAATAGCTTTTTTAATACCTGCTCTATATATCACAGTGCAATATATTCTTGGCTAATTGTGCTAGAGTGATTTCTCTACGGGAAGGTTTCAAATAAAAAAAAGACCTGGACGGAGCAGAGCTATGAAACGCTACTGAAAGTGTTTGGTCAGTGCAGGCTGATCCTGTGCCACCAAGTTTCCACATAAATGCAGTTATGTTTTGGAGGAGAGAGAACTAAGGTGACCTACTAATACCGAAATTTTCATGACTAGATTTTGGGCTCCAGAAAAGTGGGAATTTTTTCTTTTTTCTTTTTGCTTCCCATTTCTCAATTTCTCCATTTATTGAAAGAAGGATAGCTCAAATCTATGAAGCAAGTTAGCTATAACGGAATATGAATGTTTTTAAGCACCTGGGATAGAAGGAGAAGTCAGGTGTTCGCAGCAGAGTATCTGCAGCTGCAAATGTACAGTCAGTTCAGCTCTGCTGTCAGTCAGCATAAGGGACAGGAGAGGACAAACTTGCAGAGTCCTGAGATAGGAGAAGAAAAAAAGTTCTAGTCAAATCCCTGTAAAAAAAAAAAAAGTAAGACAATTTAAAAAGATGAAAGGGAAATAAATGTATGTAAAGCAGCCAGGAGAATAATAATAAGCCTTGGCAGAGGATTAAATGAAATTTGTACACAGTCTAGTGTTTAAAATGAAAGGATTTATTAAGACTTAACTTTAGCACAGACTAGCAGCAGGTAGAGTTTAAAAATAGGAAGTTTGTGTGATGTGAAGAAATGCTGTATGTGCAGGAAGCAGCTGATGTCCAAAGAGCGTGTGGACTTTTACTATAGGATAAAAAAAAGTATCAAAGAACAAGAAACAAGAAGACAACTTTTTCATACTAGGTTTGCAAAACACAAGATATCGTCAGACAATTTCTTCATAGACAGAGGCGAGTTATCAACCCTTTCTCCTAGACCACTTTCCTTTTTGGTGTCTTGATTCTAGTGAAAATGCCGGAGCACAAATGGCTTCTTGCTACTTCATTATAGCGACCTGCACAGCTCTTTGGCATGTGAACTTTTACCTTGGCATGAGGTAAACAAAAATACACTATTCCAGCTATGTACATCTTCCCAGGTGCTCTGAGTCCCCACCCTGCCCCAGTGCAGACCCTCTCTTCCCAGTAACTTTGTTTTGCAAGAGGCTGCCCAACTCCTTCCAGGGTTGGTAGCCCCAGCTGAGCTTTACTTCAGTTATTTCCTCGCTCTATGAGGAGATACCGCAGTATTCCTTTTTGAATTAGAGCCACATAATCCCCAAACGAAATAAATAGCTGAACTTCCATGAAACTGCTGAAAATAATGTAGCTTTGCAGCAATGTGAACGGGGAGCAAAGAACAGTCACAAAAAGATTAGGAAGGTTGTTTTATATCTACTCTATTGGAAAGAACTAAAGCTGCTCTTGTTTAAAATGCTTCAAGGAATGCTAGACTGAGGTGGTCCAACTCTCACTGACCCTTGGAGTCTATCAGCTCTGCGTATCTCAGCACTACTGAAAGTTTTAGCAGACCAGAGCACCCTGGCCCGGCCAAGGAGAGGATCCGGAGAAGCAATGC